CCCCCCCCCCCCCCCCACACACACACACACCCACCTATTGTCTTAGCTGCTGACTGAAGAAAATATATTCTTATAACATAACTCAGCTGAGGAATTTCTTCTCTGATAAACATGTTAGTTTACTATAATTCTATATAAATATATACTATGACCTGGTAATAGGAAGGATTGCACTCTTCTGATAAATATATAAATATGAAATAAAGTTATAACAGATTTATATTGTATCAGCATAGAAATTTGTTTTGCCAAGAGCATATTGAATGACATGGGCAATCATGGAGTTTTTATAATTTTTTGTCTCTAGCCTTCTTGAACAGTGTGCCACTCTTCCTTAAACAACAAGTCTAAATGAATGGCTTCTAGGAAGAGGGGAACATACTATAAGCACGGAATAAAATCATAAATCTAGAAATTTAAGATCCTTTTATTTTTCTACATTTGAACAATGAACATACAAGAAACCTGTAACACCTGCGTACCAAAGTGAATCCAGGGGGAGAGATTACTGCAGGCGTTTTTATTGGGGTTGTTTCTGTCCGCGTTGAAGAACTTCAGGCGCTCCTTGCAGAATGTCTCCAGCGTTCTCAGCCCTGCTGTGGCTCCGGGTGATGCCCACTTGACCTCCGTCACTGTCCGGTCAATCTGTAGCGATGCCTCGGCAGCCGACCAGTCAACTGGCTGAAATATCAATAATGAATTCATATACATTTTACTTAAGTATCTATTTGAAAATTTTCACTGGAACTCTTGACCATATGGTCTAACTGGCAGGGTGCTCACCTCAATATAAAAATAATACCTACTTTGTCCTTCCTATGCACTCAGCATGTAATAACATTACAGAGGACAGATAATGTGAATGATAACTATGCACTCAGCATATATTATTACAGAGGATGCTTTCTAGGAATGATAAGTATGACCACATTTGCTACTGCCATGATTTTGTGCTCCTCAGGGAGGTGAGCTTATTCCAGAAGTAACAGATCTACATAAACCAGGCATACCTTGTAAACCTAATTTTTGAAAATGCCCTACCTCAGCCTTGGTCTTGGCAGCATAAGGGTGGCGTATGACAGGAGGAAACTCTGTGAGGTACTCTGGAAGTTTACTCTGTATTTTATTTCTGATTGTTCTGGCACCATACTCTCTCTTATCAGAGGCTTCCCAACAGGGCACGATGTTATGGGCATCCACCTGGGAGAAGAGAGAAACAGAATTTATTGTGAAAGTCATCTTAAAACACTAGACTGTCAAATTCCTAACTGTTTACTGGTAAAACAGGGAACAATGTTTTGGGCATCCACCTTGGAAAACAGAGAAACAGAATTTACTGTGAAGGACATCTTAAAACACTAGACTGTCAAATTTCAAATTCCTAACTGTTTACTGGTAAAATGTCATTTTATGTCAAAACAAGAGAGCACTTCAAGAGCTCAGAATAAAGCCAAGGACAAAAACAATATAAATATTTAATTAAAAATGTTAGGGGAAACTTAGGCTTCATTCACATGCAANCCGAGCGTGAAAATAGACATTGCATGTGAACGAAGCCTTAGATTCAGTTAAAATAGCAATCATTTTTTCTAGCTCTCTGAAGACAAAAAAGAAATGTACTTAAACATGGAGTTTTTCAACCAGTCACCACTCTCAAATAAGTTAACTCTATGTCATTCAGAGTGAAAAGCAACTCTAAAATACAATAATAATAATAATAATAATAATAATAATAATAATGCTCATACTACTACTACTACTACTACTACTACTACTACTACTACTACTACTATTACTACTACTACTAACAATAAGAAGAAGAAGAATAAATTCACCTACCTGACAGAGAGGGATATTTTTAGGCAAGTTCTCAGTCACGTCCTTCACCCATTGCTTTGGAACTCTAAGGGGAGAAAAGTCTGTCACCACGCCTCCAATATTGTTACATTTCACAAAATCTGGCAGGACTTCCTTGGCATAACCAGTTAGCAAGTGGAACATGATGCCAAGTCTACCACACTCCTGAAAACAATAGCAGAATAAAAAAAATCACTGTTATTTCCTTTATACTATGAATTGTTGTCTTGAGGGCATTTCATAAAAGAAAATGAAGCAATTTCTTGGAACAGGGTTGCAATCAAATCTGTCCATCCATGAACCTACTAGTAATTTATAATCAATGTTGAAAATCTGTATCAGCAATCCAAAGCACTATTTTCTACCATCAGAGCCATTCCAATTCTCACTGTTTTTATAACTTTAAACCTTATACGCATGTTTAAGGTCTTTTATAATTTGCAACAGGCTACAGCATAAGCCAAAAATTGACAATAAGAAAATACAAAAATATAATTTAAAAATTTAAAATTTGAAAATAGTTTACTTGTAGTGTACTTGTACACCAAATTTTTAACTTTAAATAGACAAATTACCTGTTTCACTTCTAGCAGTCCCTTTAACATGAACCCATATTATCTTATAGTGGCCTCCAGAAACGTGGGAACAAGGCAGAAAACAACTTACCTGTTCCACTTCTTGCAGTCCCTTTAACATGAAGCCATATTGTCTTATAGTGGCCTCCAGAAACTTGGGAACAAGGCAGAACACCACATGGAGAGGCACCTCCATCTTCAGGGCCAGTCTCTGGGCGTACAGCATGGCCCAGTTATCTGAATATAGATGTTATGCGACCATGGTGTTATACACTTCATTTGGTTTAAGGAGCGTGAAATTTGAGTTCTTTCTCTCAGTGTGTATATCAAATAATTCTGCATCAGTGCCACCCTGTTGCAATATGTACCTTGAAACCTCATGGTGATGCTTGATATGTTCTGGCTTTTATCAGTGTCAATGTATTACCTCACACATTACGTAGGTTTAATTGAATATCTAAGTAAGGTATTTATGTGCATTGATTTATGGTCATGTAAGCATGAAAAATTACAAAATTATTACAGTGATTTAACTAATGTTCTAACACAGTAGCAAACAAAGAGAAGGATTCAGACCCTTGTTTTAAACTTAAAATGATAGTTGCAGGTTTAACCTTTAATATTTGATTATTACACTACTATTTATATTACAGTTTAAATAGATTCCAATTTATATATTGAATTACTATTTATATGACAGTTTACATAGATTCCAATTAATTTTTATACCTTGAACTCTTTGATCACGTGACATCCAGTAAATAACTCCGTCACACTCCTCTTGGAACTCTTTGGCTGTGGACAACACCCGGACCCTCTTCTTGTTAAACTTGAAAGCAGACACAGACTGCGCCTTGGCTTCACGTGCATGGTTTATCAGTTCTAGGAAGTCCTTGGATGTATCTTAAAGCAGAACAAGATATGATTTCAGTCGCCCGATGTGTAACATTTGGACAGTAGACATTTATTAGAAAGTGGTGCAAATGGGGGAGGGTGGAGAGCTGGGACAAAAATTTCATTATATATATTTACAAAAATATGTCTCTGGTTTATTTTGTACATTTTTCTCTTCTTGAAAATTTTTCTGTAGAAAATCGATGTCATCACATAGCTGGCCTCTATGATAGAGTGAAGTCTGCGAGCCCTTTCACCCTCCAACCTCCCCCCCCCCCCAATCTTCCACATGCACAGCAATGAACATATTTGAATTAGAGCCTGGCTTATGGTCTCAACTGAACATACCAGTAAACTTCACACCAGCTGAGTTTTGAGAACTCGGTCCAGCCTCTGCGTCATCTTCCACTTTTATTTTCATTTTTTTGCTGACAGGTCCTTCCTCATTTCCTTTACGTTTCCTCGTGTTTTCTTTGCCAGACATGATTGATGCTAAATGTATGTGCCTTGTTCTGACATAAAACTTTAGTTGAAATGCACTGCAATGATGAAAAGAGGATCATTCAATAACTAATTATACACTGTTTTCTTGAATATTCTGCAGTATGCTTTTTAAGGCATTAATAAATTCCAATTCAGCTCTTAGTGTTTGCAAGCTGTGCACTGTTTGTGCTTCATTCTAATTATTTCAGCCAAAAATCATTCTACTGACTAGCTAGATATCTAATAGTACTCTTTATATGTATAATTTCAGGTGTTCATCATCAACTACTAGATTATCCAAATAAAGTGTAAGATATATTTATCTACTAACTGCCTACAAGATAAAACAAGATAAAAAAAATAATGCAATAAATTGGGTGCTGACAGTGTGTGTGTTTCTGAGAGAGAGAGAGAGAGAGAGAGAGAGAGAGAGATCCACTTACCAATAATTCCTAAGGGAAAAAAGCATACACATTCAGTTTTGTTCCCACAACGTGACACTACTTGTTTACATAACTTTGGCTCGTAACTTCCCTCTCTTGTGTTTACTGCGCGCTTATTGGTTTATTCTTGCTTTATCAAAAGTATGGATTTCAAAGTGGATCGAAGCTACATAATATATTTGTCTTTGTGAATTTTCCGTTAATAATTATAGAACATTTAATAAAAATCTATAAAATTGATCAAATAAAATCAGAGTTTGTATTATTAAGGGAAATAAGTGCTGTGTGTAAATCAAACATCCGTATTCTGAGTCTTCGTTTACGACAGTTCCAATGGTAAAGCTTCTATTTAGGCGGTGTCAAAATGTCGCGATTTATTGTAACTAAACACGGAAGAAAAATTGATATCTTACTGGATAAAACCAAGATCCGCAAATAACACAGTTTTCCTCTTGACACGTCAGCAAAACAATTGATATTTAAATGCATATAACTCGATATAGAGGGTCTTGTCATCCCAAAAGCTGTACATATATCTAGTCGCGCGTTTGAGTTAATCAAAAGGAGAAACCACGGTATCGAAAATAAGTCTTAGGGAACGTAAATTTTGACCTTTAGGAAAGAGATCGTAAGCTTTCAAAATGACCATCTACAAGACGGTTCCTGGCGAGAAGAAGCCAGATGATACTCAGCCGATGACTGAGGTCTCCCTGGACACATTGGTGAGTGGCAATAAATCTAGATTTACGTCGTTTTGACAAAATGTAAACAAATGCGATTGCGGAAGAGGACATTTTGTGATTTTAAACCTTATGTAATTTTTTTGACATCGTGATATTTGCAGTTGGAATAAAATATAACAAATCATTTCCGTTTGGTTACTTAAATTTGTGGTTAATTTTGCTTTGTTATTCCTTATTGAAGTTGGGTCATCAATTGATATATAAGTGTCTGAATAAATATAGTTCTGCTAACTGAAGACTGAAGATTCCATTCTAGTATCCGTTTAAAATCGATCTGAATGCAAAAATACTGTAAAAAAAAAAAATAATAAATAAAAAAAAAATAAAAAAAAAATAATAATAATTGAATTGTCCTTCAAATAGCTTTTGCTTTATGTAAGAAAAACGACATTAATTGTATACTTCTGGTATTTGTTTTGCTGAGTCAGAGTTACTAGTAAAGGGGGGAGGCTGGCAGCTTTTCAACCTTATTTTCCTTCCTAGTTTCGTTTTTGGTATGTTAAAAACAGAATTCGGTTTTGCTTTTTCCAGAAGGGTTATTATATTTTATGACAGAATAGCAATAAAAAAATGGAATAAGGTGTTTCATAAATTTTCATAAAGGCAATATGTATAACAATTAATGTTAAATGTTGTGAAAATTTCAGCCGTATCCCTGTTTATAATAACAGTGTAAATTGTAGAAAAAATTTCTTAAATTGTAGAAAAAATGTCAAAAAATTCATAAAGCTCACCAGTCTACATCTCTGTTTTTAAAAAAATAAAATAATAATAATGAAGTGCTTCCATGCTTCAAATACAAGTGGCATACAGTACAAGATTGGGCTACATAAAAAAAAAAAAAGAATTAAATAAAAAGGAAAAAAAGAAAAGTCTCATCTGTTCATATACACAGGTTTTTAATCCTATTACAACAGATGTTCAGAGTTACTTAAAGCTCTACAAGCGTATCTATATAGATGTAAATTTTTTTGAACTTTATCCCTGAACCCAGTGCCAGTGTACCATAAAAAATTTCATAATGCAATTTTGGCTCCACCTGCAAAACTTCATAAATCTTAATTTGTTTGAATTTATGAAAGTGTTTGAAATATGTTAATCAGCTTAAGGAAACTGGGTGATTTCCGCTGATGACTCAAGTTCGATTGCCAGGTTACTTACAAAAAAAAAAAAAAAAAAAAAAAAAAAAAAATGATGCCAAAAAGATATTTTTATTAACAAATTTATTTATCTGTTATTATTTTAGCCTACAGAAAAAGGAAAACCAGAAGGCAAAGGCCTCCCAGTTCCTGTCGTTACCTCTAATCGGCGTAGAAAGAATAATTGTTGTCTTAACCTCTGCGTGTGTGTCACTGCGCTGATAGTGCTGGCAGGCGGAATTCTTGGCGGGATTTTCCTGTACAAACACATCACACACAAAAATGTAAGTACAAAAAATGTGTCGGTTAATTTTTGGTTTAATCAAGTGAAAATATGATATTGTGTCTTCCCTTATTTTTAAGAGTGAAAGTAATTAATTGGCAGATATGTGTGTGTGTGGGGGGGGGGGGGGGAGTGGGTATAAAATGATCACCACGATCTGGACAGATATGGCAGAAAAAAATTCATGTTTGTCCTGGAAAGGTGATGTGGCACAATTTCATAATGTGAATGTGTAATAAAATTACATGCACCATTTGGAAGTCCTTTTTTATGTAGAAACATTCAACTAATAGTAGCTGATGAATTGATGTTCTCTTCCCTGTGTCACCCCCTCCTCATTGCTGGATCATTTCAGTGAGGAAAATTGTGAATTTAACAGATACAACTAATTTTTCAACTAAGAAATTCTTAAAATTAGATCATTCCTATTGAGTGGTAGTAACAAAATTGAAAAGCAGACTACCTAATAGTTTTGTTATGTACAATAAAAGCACCAAAATGCTACACACAAATTTATTTGTAATGATTCCAAAATTATGTATCTGAAAAAAAAAATGTAAATTTTTCCCAGTTGAAATGATCAAGCCATTACCGTACTAGTACACCAGTGTCCATGGCAATGCTTAGTTTCAACAGATGATAAGTTACATACAATATGAAGCTGGAGGTGCTTGTTATTGTATTGAAAATCAATTATTCTACAGTTATAGGTACTGTATATACCTGCAGAGACTTGCCTGGTAGGAAAATGTCATACAGTTAGAGTGCAGTGTGAAAATACTATTTATATGTATACTGTGTTACATCTTATTGCAAGCAAGTGTGCAGACATTGTGAAACTGCCTGCCTAACAGGTCATGACTGTTTGAAATGTCAGAGGACCTGCAAGATTTTTGATATCACAGCCCTTTATAATGGCAAGGCTGTAATGAAAATAAAATAAATAATAATAAATCACATGGTAACATGGACTGACTTTGTTAGACGCCAGCACAGAATTGGAAGGACCTGTATGATTCTAGTCTGGCAGACCTTCACTCGCTTCAGTGTCTCCAAGGTTTTTGCCAAATCTGTCTGCGATGAGAGTTTGTGTTTGCATGTTTATGATGTGACTGTTGACAAATGCGGGTTTCAAGGCTAAGAAATGTCTCCATCTCATATGCTATTACAAAATGTATCCAGATAGTAATATAATGAAGTCTTCTGAATACTGGTAAATGAAAAAGGTGGAATTAACATAGGGCAGTTCAGTAAATCACAATGACAACACACACACACACACACATACATGCATGCAGTATTAATCCATAGCTTTACCTTTCACGCTAACCATTGTGAACAAAACAAAACAAAAAACAAAAACTGAAGATCTTTATGTGCTTTGTGCTCAGTATACTGGTTAATACGTGATGTGGTACTGGTATTGATTTCTACCTCAGATAACATCAGATGCATAGCAGCCCAGGTAATAGCAGTATAACTAAGCAACTGTCATCATGCCGTATGTAATTTTTTTTTTCTTTTCTTTTCCAGCGCTATGTTGGATGGTGCGGTGTGGGCATGTACGACGACGACCTGCAGCCCAAGAACGGTAAGCCGCAGTTCCTGAAGGAGAAGGTTGACATTGACCTTGACAAGCAGACAGAGAAGATCCAGGTGCCTCAGATTGGAGGCGTCGAGGATGTGATTGTCCTGCATGATTTTGAAGTGGTACGTTTTTTTTTTTTTTTTTTTTTTCAGTGATTTCTTTGTTACCTTATTTGTCACTTCTTATTCCTTACAGTGAAAACATGGCAAAGTAATGCCATGCTTGGATAAGTAGTTCTGATAAAGGCGGAGGTTAAAAAAAAAAGTGCCAACAAACAAGCAAGAAAAACTGCTGACTAATGCTTACTGCTTTGTAAAGAAACATGGAATTGAAAAAGTCTATCAGGAAAAAATTCAAGTTTTTTTTTAATCACTTTTGAATACTGTTGCCCTTGACTGTGGTGTGTTCCTTAAATTAAATGATAACTCATTTTTTTCAATCTATTGAATTAAAATGATAACTCATTTTTTTCAATCTATTGAATTAAAACAACTTTCTTTCAAAGTCTTTTCTTGATGACTGAAAATATCTGTTTTTAATGGCTGATGACTTGGATTTCCAGCCTGAAAATCCTGCTTTCAACAATCCAAATGAGAATGAATTCATTGTAGTGAAAATGACCCAAATTTTGTCTTGCAGAATCTGACAGCCATAGTTGATGTAAATGAAGAGCGTTGTTTCGTTCTTCCCCTGGATCGCAGCGTGGTGTCCCCACCCAGTGACTTCCTGGATCTCATGCTGAAGTACATGGTGAGTGTGACGCTAGAAACTGGAAACAAATTCAGGAGTTGCCATTTTGAATTTACAGTCAGTTTTACAAATAGTCTCACAGTCCAGCAAATTTTTCATAACTGTCATTTCAAATGGCCAATTTCTTTGAAAAATTTGAAAATTTTTCACCATATATGTGTAGTGTAAAAGAATAATGATGATGGCTGTGTATGTATGTATGTATGTATGTATTAAAACAAATAGACAATATTTTAATTTATGGACTGTGGCATTAAAAGAGCAGTATTCAAAAAAGGAGAAAACAATTTTGATCATTTCACTAAGACAGATATTGGAGTTTATCCAGTGTTTCTTTTTCTACCTGTAGAATGGTGCCTATACCCCCAATGTGCGCAAGATCCGCCGTGAGTACCAGGTCCAGTACCCCAAACTGGAGGACCTCAGTCGCCTTGGGTGGTACATACAGAACCAGTGCTTCTCTTATGACACATACCGCCTAGTGGCTTCTGGTAAGACGGGTGATGTAGTAAATATAGTTTCTTTCCTAGTTGAACTGTGCTCTTGAGGCGAGTTCAGTTTGTAAAATGAACAGAGGGTGGTAAGCATTTGGAAAAAGTACGATTTCGTAGGTCAAATTCTTTTATTTATTTACTCAGTTAATCTTTATTTTAAAGAACATCATTGTTAAGTGTTTAAAGAATATTTACTTGTGTTATATTATTGGATACAAGACCCTGCTCCCCTCAGTATCTTCAAATCCCATACTGAGACTAATTTCCCTTAAAGGAGAGAAGAAAAAAAATGTAAGAAGTGATTAAAAACTCTATTAGTCTGCAATGTTAACGCTGGCCAGTGCCAAATGCAGGCAAAAATTGGAGCTAAGCCAATAACAAGTTGTTTATGTATTCATTTACTGGCAACTGTGTCTGTTTAAGGCCACATTGTATTCTCAAAGCCTAGCAAAGAGCCAATAGGGAGAAACTTTTTGGGCAAATACTACTCTTATTTTACCGTGTGATATACCATTGGCATAACACTCCATTTAGCGCCTGTTAGTGCCATCTCTGCTACATTGATAAGGAGAAGAGATTTCTTGCAATGTCTAGTTCTTATCAGTACTTCACTTCCAAAGTGCAGTTAACGTGTTGCTGTAATAACTTTGTATTATATTACAGGTGAGACCCAGACCCATCGCCCCCTGTTGGGAGGAGGTAAGATGCTGTTTGAGCAGTTTTTATTTGTTGATTAATTATTTTAATTGAATGTGTGGGTGTGTGTTTGTATGCCAGTTAATTGTCACCATAATTACTGGATTTATTTATTTATTTATTTATTTTTTTTTTTTGCTTATTTAAATATTTTTTGAAGACTTGCCCTTGCCCATTGTTATTTGTTGATTAATTATTTTGATAAAATGTGTGTGTTTGTAGATGCCAGATAAGTGTGACCAAAATTACTGTAAATTTTTAGCCTGAACTGCAATGACTTAAAAAGTTACATATTACAAGAAGAAAGGTTTTGGCAAATACCTAAATATAAGTTGCCAAATTGGAACCATGTGATCAGTGAAATGTTGTCAACATATTAGGTTGATGACAAGTGTTTCTGTTGTAGGTCAATTTTTCAAGCAGTCGAGCCTTAACTCGCATCAACTATTCAGGATGTCATTCTCTTTAGAGTAGAAATGAATATATCTTAGTGAAATTGAATAATGATCAAGTTTTAAAATATCTGTACTTGTTTCTCTTGTAGATGATGGACACAGACCCTCTTGGCTGGCCACTACAAAACGCCCCCTGTTGGGTGCACGTAAGTTAACACTAACTTCACTCTTCTGTAGTGAACATATAATCTAGCAGTGTTCATTCTAGGAATGTTTCAATGTGGGACAAAGGGCCCCCAACATTTAAAAAAGTGGGCCATTACATTTTAAAGTGGGCCCTTGTTCAAATCTTGAAATTATAATATGTAACGCATGTTGTTTTACTGCTGTGGTATTTATGTTCAGAGATGAAAAAAAATTATTATAAAAATATTTTGACTAATAGGTGATCACATTCAATAAGTAATCCCAATTTTCTAAAACAAAACCCTTGAGTTGACGCTCCAATTTTTGTTAACAAGTATAAGATAACACTAAAATATGTTCACGATTTATTCACCAATAACCAAGTTCTTTCTATAACGACATTTTAAACCCATTTTTGGCTTCAATTTATGAAAAATCCATTTAATTTTACCTCTTCTGTCCTGTCCCATTATCAATGACCCTTGACTAACTGGCATGCATTCATGACTTATGAAATTAATTGTCTCATTATATAGAAGATATTGTCCTTTTTTTCAATGCATAAGCTGCAATACACCAAGTTTGCGTTATAGTCGTGTACAAGCCACTTGTAAGTATTTCTCCACCATTTTTGAAACGACCTTGAAGTTGCATTGCTATTCGACGCGGTATCAGCAGTCGTGACGGCTGCACAAACTTTTGTTCTCTTTTCTGGTGGGAATGTCTGCTGTGCATGATCATGATCATCTCCGTCGCTACTGTTCTGAACCGTTTTAGAGTGATCTTCGGGATCGATTTTCTTTAAAAAACTTAAAATACCATTTTACAATGTACGGGTTGATCAAATTGACCTACATGGACAATTAATCTCAGCCTATCAGGGATTCAAAAAAGGAGGGGCGATTGCCACTGATTTGCATAAAGCGCATGACGTCAGCATAAATTAAGATCTTTGTTAAAACTGCGACGAGTAAAGAATATCTTCGTTACGTTTAACATTAGATCTTGATGTCAAGAGAAGTCGAGTAAACAATCAAACTTCGGCCGGGAATTTGCTGAATTGGAGGGCGCGTTTAGGACACAAAAATGCGCCGCTGTTAATTGTCTTGAATTTTGTTGGCGCAGCTCGCTCTACGAATTGCGTCAACCACATTTTTTCTGCGTCATTGACGCAAGGGCGCGTCCTAGAATGAACACTGATCTAGTCAAGAAGTACCCTGTACAAGGGCCACAGATTGACTTTTTACAGGATGTTTACAGATATTTCTTTAGATAAATAGACGGTCATTTTACTAACTCTGGATTTTCCCATTTTTGCCTATCGAATCTGCCATCCTGGTAGATAGTAGTCAAGATGTGTGATTGAAGAAATGTCATGGATGAAGGGGGGGGATATGATTTTTAAATGGATGCCTGTGTGGGTGCACATTTGAAGGTGCATACTGGTATATAGATTGATTCCGTTGTTGTTAATGTCATCTAAAAGAGCTGTCAGCTTTGGAATTAAATCATTTTCTTGTTATTGAATGGTTATTGGAATTTTTTTCTTCATCTTTTCTAGCTGACGGCCACCGCCCAGCATGGCTAGGACACCATCATGACAGAGGTAAGGGTTGTTATTGTGCTCGCTTGTTGGCAGATCTGCTTTAAATGGCTGGGACTGACAGTGGCATGGAAATTTTTTAACCCTCCCCCCCCCCCCCCCATCGCGCACGCACACACACACACACACACACACACACACAGCCCATTGGAGAACTTGTTCCAGTGTGCAACAGACAGTTATCTGACAGATTAATTGTTATAAAGAGAAATTTTATGTTTTTACGCTTTCAAGTGTTAAATACTGTGAAAATGGAAAGATACTGTAATTACTCAGTCTTTTCAATAGGCAAAAGTATCAAGCTTTCAGGTACATAATTTTATAATGATTAAATTATATTTATATACAGCATTTGTGGTGCTTTGGTGCTGCATGAAATAAAACTATTAAGTGGCTTTATTTTCAATTTTAATGTTGCCACTCAATATGAATGTTCTTATTATAAAAAATCATGACTTAAAAATATGATATCTGCAAATTCACAACCCCCCCCTCCATTGAAAAGATAAGAGTTATTACCATAAGTGTAGTCTATTCAGTTTATTGAAAACTAATTGCTCTGTTGTGCTACCTTTCAGATGGACACAGAAGACCACATGGGCACGACATGCATGGAATGCGCAGTATGTTCACTATTCATTTCATGATAAAATAAAACAATTTTATAGGCCATTCCCAGGGCCTATCGTAAACACTATGGATCAATCTATCTCCAAGCGTATTGTCACTAAATTGCTATCAAGTTAAGCGACTTATATGTCTCGCACACCCACTGAAGCTGTTACAGGGTAATTAACTATCATTTAGGGGCTTCAGTAGGCTTGCCAGACATTAAGTCGTTTAAGCTAAAAGCAATTTAGCGAGAAACCCCTTTGAGATGGGTCGTTCCAGTTAGATCGATCTAGGCATGGGAGCCCAGTCTTGGGCTCAAACACACAAAGTTATTTTGCAGTTTTTGCAAAGTGCTAAAGATAATGGCCTTAACACTTGAAATTTATCTTAAAGATTACATAATGGCTTGTATGATCACAATGGCTTTACAATTTTCAAAAAGTAGTAGGACATAAAGAAATTTATAATTCTATGATGGATACTCTTTCTATTTCAGACAAGAGAAGTTTCAAGAAAGACTTCAAGGTGGCCGTCATTGAAGGCCCCAAGGCAGTGGTAGAATACGCTTTTAAATTTGAGTAATCAAAGAGAGAGGTTAGAATCAAGTACTACTAGAACTATTTACTAACTCATTTGCACATTTCTAAGAGCTGACTACAAAATAGGTAGAAGTGGTCTCAGCAACTTCAAGTCATTCCTTAACATTTTTATGATTTTTCGGTGAGGATTGATACATGTATTTTGAACAGAAAAAAAAGCACTGGCTTAATTTTCCTTGGAATTTTGCAATTATTGTTAAAAGAATACAGAGACAAAATAATCCCAAGCACACGTTTGATGATAATTTCTTCGATTTTGTGCCACTTAGATTGGATCAAAGCTCTAGCCTCTTTGTGTAAATGTCACTATATATTTTATTACATCACTTGATTCTGGTTGACTGTGATAGGATAGAAAAAAACTGTTGTTATGGAGACTCTATGGCCATGGGGTCATTGCTATGGAAACTACAGGATAGAAAAACTGTTGTTATGGAGACGCTGTGGTCATAGGGTCATTGTTATGGAAACCACAAGGTTGTTGGGCTGTTCCAAACAATCAGATAGAAGTGCATTATTTCTCTAAGAAGGTTCACATTTTATACTTTAGAGTGCTTTGTTTTCTGGAATAGTTGGCATAGCAGATCACTTTTCACATTTCCAAGGTTCACACTCGTGTTTTTGAAAAAAAAAATTCAGATTTTTTTTTTCTCCTCGAGATCCATTGTTTGCCCTAAAAATGATCAGGCCTTGAGTTTTTCAAAACAACTGAATATTTCCATCTTAACATGGGTGGGAGAGAGAGAGAGAGAGAGAGAGCAGGTCGTTCAATAAAACCCTAGATCAAATAGATTCAGTTCTTTACCTACACGACATTCTTTTCTTGTTTTTAAAACAACGTTCAAGTGTTGATGTCTCAAATTTTAAGGCTGCTTGCCAGCTCAATCTAATGCACAGGGTGTCTACTTTCCCTCTTTGTGTACCAGTGAAATATGAATTTGTAGGTCTGGCGATGCCATTTAATTGTCATTTTTATTCAAAATTTTATTAATTTGAACAACACCAGTTAAATATTGTCTTAACAGTGACCTTGTTAGTTTTTTTTATCTATATAGCCATAGCATTTGAAATAACAGTAATTGTTCTCTTGATTTAAGGACATTTTCATACTGTCTAAAGTCATTATTTTGGTATGTGTGGTTTGTAAATTAAAAGTAATCAGTGACCTTGATATCTGGGTTTGTATCTTGGCAGTAAGTTAAACAATTCTCACTGGTGTGTTTTCTAAATGCGCAAGTACGAAAGCTCGCTGTGTCCGTCTAGTTAAAAGGTGAGTGCGAGCTTGGAAAAGCAGTGAACATGATGGGTGCCAAAATATGCATCACATGATTTTGACATCAAATTTAGCAAAACTCTAAGTGTTAAATTAATATATATTCAGGTATATAAGACAGATATTGTTTTCTTGCCTAAGAATATAGCAATTGTATCAGAACAGCCCCTTCTGCACAGTGAATTTGTATATAAATCCATTTATGATATTAATACCCGGATTTTTGATTGTTGTAATGTCTATCTCTTTACGTAATATTAACATTTTTAGATCTTTTTTCACTCCAGTATCATTCATGATATGTGTTGAAGTCATGATTTCAGTGTAAATTTTCCAACATCCATAGACTTGAAAATTTATTGATCACTTCAAGTAACTGTTCTAAATAGTTGTATTTGGATTGCCTCAATTTAGCAGTTTTTATGTGAAAAATAAAAATGTAATATTTTTCAAAACTATTTTAGAAGGGAAAAGTAGAAATTTCCTTTGTGGAAATATTTGGATACTGCTTAAAGAAAGTAACCATTTTCTTTCGGTTCAAAATTCAGTCCAGGTTTAAGTTACTGAAATCAGTTTTAAATTTGATTAGCTAAATCCATATAATATCTATATCAAATGCATTATATAATAATATATATATTAATAATAATACAGGAAGCCATAAATGTTCTTTACAATTTGTTTGATTCTCTTCTTCACATTTAATACAAGTTGTTGCCAGTTACGACTGGTATGCTTTGATAATCCAGGATTTTTCTAGTTGATAACATCAGTGCAACTCTGTAACTTCTTCAAGCTAATAAAGTGATTTCTGATGTGAAATTTGTGTCATTTTTCTGTGGACAGATGCCGTGTCAGAGCATTAGTTATCAGCTGTGCTTGCCGTCATTGCCATTGCCATGTATATCACCATTCATGCAATAAATTGATAGTTATCTCTAAGCTAACCATCGTAGCATCAGAATTTGTGTCAAACTAGAATATTGACAGCTTTCTTATTTATGAGTTTTCTTAATGTTTTGCAATTTTAATTTAATATTTTTATTAATAATTTTTTATTAAGAACAATGTTTTTTGGTGCATGTAAATTTTTCATTCTGCACACTCAAATTTTAATCGCCCTGGATTTTGGACCCAGGAAGCACTTAGATTCTTACTTATGTGCATTGCCAGTCAGTGTAATAAGCTTAATCTCCCCTCCCCTCCCCTTCCACCTCGAGCAGCTAGGGAGTAATTTACTGCACTTTAGCGAGAATCTGCGCAGAGATGGATCGATCTTGCTGGTATGATAACTTGAATCTGAACACTCCCCTACATACAACATCCTTAAATTATTTTCCGCCATATGCAACTAGCAAGTTAGGCTGAAAATAGAGAAGTTTGCCAAGGTGAAACTGAACATCTACTGGCCTGTTTTAAAACAACATCGTTAATATGAACTGTGCCTTGGTACCTAATGTAAAATTTCAAGTTGGTGGCTGATATGTTCTATCAATCGAAATTGCACACAATTTTTTTTTTCTTTTCTACAATGAATGACACATTAAAAAATGGAATGCTGATAATTCTCTGCCAACACATCCAAAATTAAAAATAAATAAATATGAGTAAAAACTTGCCAAAATAGACACTTCTGATTGAATGAACATGGCAAAGTTGGTAATAGTCAAAACTGGACGTAAAATGCACTTCATTTACAATATAACTACAAACAACAAGTTATATAAAGAGCTCATTTATTGATCCTCCACAGTACACGGACTGAGGCATCAATCCAAAGAATGAATGAATGAATAAGTAGTCACATTCAAATATACAGACTAAAATACTCAATAATTGTGAAAAATACAGCAGCGTGAAGACATATGACAGTGTGCAGTCGATTTCATGAGAGAGGTTTTCGTGGATCAGTTAACAGCCAGAAAAAAATCATTTATATATAACTAATATACACTGGAGAATATTGGGCGTGGGTTTGAAGTACTCTCACCTGATAAAATCCACCCATCATATTGGCAAATACAACTTAATTAACATATTCGACCAAAATAAGATTGTGCTAAAATAAATGTATACAATAATGATGATGAAAAAAATTAAAGTAATTGGAAGGCTATACAATATTGATAAGTTGGTTAATGAGCAGGGTCTTTTTGTAAACAGGGATGGTAGGTGACATTTATTATTATTATTATTTGTTTTTTTTTTTTTTAAGTTGTTTTATAAGCATAGATCTAGCACTGTGAGTGCTTTTATTAACATGAAAACAACAGCATTTAAATTCTTTTCTGAGTCTCTAGTATATTCCCCAGCTTACCAAGCCAATGCTTGATGCAAAAAAAAAAAAAAAAAAACTGATTTTTTTATTTATTTTTGGTCTGCCTTATTAATTAACCAACTCAACTATCTTGTATGGCCTAACAATAAAACTTTCTAATAAAGTTCCAATCGCAGATAATATATATAATTTATATCAATAGTGTCACTGGATGTGGACTGATGTTCTAACTTTTATATGTAAAATGTTAACAACATGCATAAGACCTTCAAATAGCAGAAAAAAATGAGTTTTCATCAATTTTCATCAGCTTAAAGGCATAATATCATATAATCCAAATCTGTTGAGAAAATAAGGATTTATAAATCCCTCTTCAATTTCTTAGTAACTATTTAATTTCAAGTGAAATCACCCAGTCTCCAGTATCAATAACAGGAGTGGTTCAAAAATAAGAAACTTAAAACCCAAGTCATTTGACCTTGATTTTCTCCATGGATTTGGGTGCGCCGTTCATTGGTGGCAAGGGGAAACCTTTTGACATTTAGAGAACTTTTTTTTTTTTGACATTTTGCTATAAAAAGGTCCAACAATAATGACATGGCCTTGAACACAGTTGAAGTGACCACTTGGCAGATACAGTGTGTGCTTTCTTCTTCCATACAGTTGAACTGACCACCTGCTGGGGTAGTGCTGGCCCTTTTTTTTCTCTTAGCCAAATCTCTACTTTTTCATATATTTTTTCACATGATTTTCTCCATATGGTTTTAATTTGACTAAAACAAGTCACATCAACTAGTTTTTGTTTAGCCAACTTAATTCAGTTTTAGAATTTGGCTAAATCAGCAAGTGTAAGCGCTACCCTAGAGTCTTGATAAACACATTAATTTTACAGTATTGCCAATACAACTGTGACAACAAAGCATGCCTGTTTTGTAGTCTATAAAATATGACAATTACACAATACCAAATTTCTCCCCAAATCAGATTAATTATCAAGTATTATCAACTAGAGTGAAAGGACCTCAAATTGACATTTTTTTTAAATATTTAATATTTAACATGATGAAAACATAGCTAATGCAAATATGAAACTTGTGAACAGATTCATATGCAGGGTAGCCAAACATGATGCAAAATCAAAGAGAACACGTTATGAAGAAACTGTGTTTAAAGACAACTTCTACTTTGAAATTTATGTTAACTATGATATTGATATACTCCATTAATGAGTGAATGCTTTGACGTATACAGTGGAATTACAATCAAGAATCTACCAGTACATAAATCAAACAGTGAAACTTCAGTGGTAAAAATCGATGACAAGCAAGGCCTTCCCAGCTGCCATTTGGACGACCAATAGCTTCATAAGACAGCTTATATTTCCAAAGGCAGACGGATGGCTTGCAAGATTTTTGGTTTTCTTTGATTGGGCCTGGGTTGGACCCCCTGTAAATCGATGACCAAATCTCCTTGAATTTTTACAACACAAGTTCCAGAACTTGATTTTTATACATGAATATTCTTGATACACACCAAACATTAAGTTCTATAAAATGTTGATTAAAAACAAACACTGAAATTTTAGATGCCTTTAAACCCTGCAGTGTACATATTGTCAGTACTTATTATTCAAATGATGGTCTGCCTCGTTTTCTCTACACAAAGTTCTCATCACTGCCTTTTATTTCAAACCATGCAACTTTCAAATATTCTCAAGCCCATAGGAAATTAGGGGTGTTCAAATCAACTGCTCTGAGGTCCACATTTTCAGAAAAACAAACACCATTCCACTTCCCCCCCTTTTGAAATTGCTGACTACAGAACAGCTTTGAATTAGAATTGCACTGTACTTCCTCCACTGTGATTCTACTTTTGAATGTGTTTCCCAAAAGAGAGTATCTTGTTTGGTTTTCTTTTCTTCATAAAAAGGAAGAAATTCTCCCATCCCTGGTATTTTTATTTTTGTGGAACTGAATACCTCTCCTAAAGGTAAATGTCTCTCAATGTCTGATGAGTGGTGACTTTGGACATCGCCCATTCATTTCTGTACAGAACCATTTCAAACACTAGATTCTGCCAACACACCTAACACCAAGTGTGACTTTCACTGTCTGAGCTAAAACCCAGCTAAATCTTATATATCTCATGTATATATATATATATGCCAATCACAAACACATAATCCTACCCAAACAGCTTGTCTTGAATATGACTGCCATCTACAGTACTCGTACTTGCATCCTTCCTTAGCATAAGACTTCCAAAACGGCTCGGTTTGAGTGTGACTGCCACCTACTGGACAAAAAACCTAAACACACATCTGTACAACATCCACAACAGTCACAGTTCATTTTCCTAGCAATGTGGCCTGTCTTGTGACAACGTCCACCTACTTTAGAGACACACATGCAGTGTGGCCTGTCTTGCGAACATGTGCCACCTATCTTTGAGTAACATGCCATGCACTTCAACATCTACCATTTCAGTAAGAAATGGCACTACAATTCCTAATCAAAGTTTTTCTTTGTGTTCAGCATGTGTTATCCGTCTAGTGGTTGTCCTAAGTAAACCATCGACACCTCTGTGTTCCCGTACACTGCTGATACCGCCGGATACAATTCCTGACTCGGTAGTCCTCTAAAAGCTACACCTGAAAAATAAAGAACTTCAATGAGTGTTGGAAGTGTTATTGGTATTCTTGTATAACTGAACACAGAGTGATTTTCTGTTGGGTCATACAACTTAGCAGCAAAGGGGCCTCTCAGTGCACAGTCAGCTCCATGAGAGAACTCGAGGCCAAACGTGGGTTTGAGCTTTGGTATGGGCGGCGGTTTATTCAAAAATGCAAAACACGATTAGTCGTCATCGTTATCAGATCAGTCGAAATGAAAACACGATTAGTCGTCGTCGTTATCAGATCAGAAGGCAAAATACGACTAGTAGTCGTCAAAACGCAACTAGTCATTATCAAAACGCAACTAGTCATCATCAAAACGCAACTAGTCATCATCAAAACGCAACTAGTCATCAAAACGCGATTTGACGCCAGATGGCGCCCATTGTACGAAAATCTAGGCCAAGTCACATGATCCACAGTGATCAAAATGGCGGACGTTATTGAAGCAGCATTATCATATTCCTCGCTCGAACTCGAGAATTATCTCTACGCGTACAATCTAATAATGATATTATATATATAATAATATCTGGNGTTGCGTTTTGATGACTAGTTGTGTTTTGATGATGACTAGTTGCGTTTTGATAATTACTAGTTGCGTTTTGATGACTAGTTGCGTTTTGACGACTACTAGTCGTATTTTGCCTTCTGATCTGATAACTACGACGACTAATCGTGTTTTCATTTCGACTGATCTGATAACGATGACGACTAATCGTGTTTTGCATTTTTGTATAAACCGCCGCCCATACTTTGGGACCAATAATTTTAGAATATTCTGATGCACGATAAATCAAAAGTAGACTGACTGAATGAAAAATCACATTTGTTTTGTAACAAGAAAGAAATGGCTGATGCCATAAACCAATAGTTTGCATCTTTAATTGGACTACTGCAGAATTATGCTACTTAGGAATTATGAACAAAGTATTCAAACCAATACTGTGGTCTAAGGGACCCTTCCCAATGATTTTATATTGATCTATCCCTGTGGGAAGTCTCACTAGATTACTGTCAGCTTAGCCGGCTTAAGCATCTGTCCCGCCTACTAAAAGCTGTAAGGTATGGTGCGCGCTCGGTTGACTGCAATTTAGCGTGAACCCCAGGGAGTTAGGTCGATCTAAATCTTAATCTCTGGATCGATCTAAATCTGTGGGAATTCACCCTAAGGGTCCATTCCCAATGAAACATTCAGTCTAGGTAGATGGATCCAACCCTGTACGGACTTTCACTGAAGGCAATAATTTTAACAGATAAGTGTTCCTCCTACTGGCATTAAATACAATAAAATTGGTGATTTTTCCAGTACACTGCAAACAAAAAGAGGCTCTTTTATCTGATAAGCTGACTGCATTCAAAAAGAGCCCCAATGGAGTTGGATCGATCTACGAAGACCTATTGTTTCAATTAAAATGAGTCCAAAAGAAAAGGTGAACTTTTGGTCTGCAGTTCTAAGAGACCCACCCATGGAGTAAGTTATACAGTAGCCATTTAGCCATCTATTCTAGTCCAGAAATGGTTTCAGTTTTAAACCACCCTGAATGTGTCTTTGATAAAGTCCACTTACCTAAAAATTCATAATTCTTTTCAAATGCTATGGTGTTGTCTTCACAATCTAGTATAACTCGTATCCTTTCTCCTACCTGGAAAATAAATAAATTAATTAATAAACAAATAAATAAATAGATGAATTAATACACAAATAAATAAACAGAAGGGGAATTTCCCATTATTTATGTGGTATTCCGTCCCATATCAGGGAACAGAATTTATGGTTAATGCTAAAATAAAATTAATAGAAGGGGAATTTCCCATTCTCTAAGGCCTCACATAAATAAGCTCTGTTTAACTTTCATTCTTGAATATCTCAAACAAATCCAGATATATCTAAGCGCCCCCCCCTCCCCCACCCCCCAACACACAAAGGAGAAGAATAACTGAAACATTCTAGAATGCCTGTATATACACACCAAAAAACCAAAATAACTGCAACTTATAAATAAACTTATACACATATAAACTATAAAATTTTGCCAATGAGACCCATTATGGAAATTCGAAACAATTTGTTTCATGACAAATTTACATTGGATTAATTGACAGCAAATACTGATATATGGCCACATACTAGTAAGAAAACAGTCTTATTCAAGACTGCTCAAACAAGCAACTTCACACATACTATTACTCAAAATCAAACTTAACTTACAGTGCACATAATACATTTATACAGCAAAAAAAAAAGAAAAAAAAACTTTTATTTCTTTAGAAATTTCATAATTTCCTATTCTTTTATGACCAATGTATAACCATCCAAAAATGGTGCCAAAAATACAATTTATAAACACATCTTTGAGTTTTAAATTTCTAATTTTACGATCTTTGCTTTAAAGCGACAGTCTCTATTCATGGATAGTGACCCAAAATCCAGAAATTTATCACTAAAATTGGATCATAAATTATGCAGTTGGCTCCTGATACAGAACAGCTTGATGACTTGGGGGGAGGGTTGAATTTTCCAAGAAAACTAGATAACCACTATAGATATAAAGGTCTTGCAGTCTATTTTTGGGCCTTTCAAGATGCATCTGAAGTCTTTTTTTTTTTTTTTTTTTTTAGCCACAAAATGCAGCCATAAGTTTCAAATAACATAACTTAGAGAAATACCAAAAAGACATCATTTTATATTTCCAAAACAATATTTGAAAAAATTTTTCTGCTTGCTTTCCTGCATATAAAAGGGTCACATAAGTAGGTCAAATTTACCATCAAAAATTTGCAGAAGATACAGTTTAAAGCTCTTTTAAGGCTGATCAGGTGATTGATTTGGTTATCCCTTGGCATGTGGACTTCATTTGAGTCATATAAGAAACAAGTAGAAGTTATTTACGGCTGTATATGCATTACTGCACAAACATTCAGTTCATATGTACCTTTAAAGCTGATTACCTTTCAAGGGGCGAAAAATACGAAACTGGCTCAAATAAGATTTTAAATCAATCTTCAAGGATCACAGGATTAATTTGGGATAAATTCTTGTCAACTTACTGTTCACTTTATCTTTAATCAAAGAATTCGAAGGAGATGCCATCATACTAATAAGTCAATAAGCCAGGTTATTCTCTAATGATATCAATGAATTTGGCAGGGTCCTAACTGAAGATCCTATCTCATTAGATGACTCAAAGCAATTGGAAGGAAAATAATGAAGTAAACATTGGAACATCTGCTATTACATGACTGGTCATTGAAAACTTGCTGCAATGACAGGACTATTGTTTCGCCAGAAGTATGTCTGCACATCCACAGAAATTGCTTTAAATGAATCACTCAATTTTCCTTACGTTTTATTCACTGTTATGGTGCACAATGACAGGTAAGCATTAAAATCCCCAAAGCAGGAAAAGAGATCACGATTTTCTCAACAGTTTTTGTAATTATATACCTTGGTGATAAATGAAAAACATTTTGGAAAAATACATGTTTTTTTTTAAGAACTCTGAAGCTAAATTGATAACAATAAGACTGCCATATGCATTGGACCCATGCACATAATGGGGGAAGGAAGGTGAGAACTGAATATTCCTTTATGGTCTCATCTGCACAAAATTCATGCGCAAGCATTCCTATTGACGATTGTGATAAATACTAGCAATGCTAGCTGGGTAGATATTCAAATCTTCAATAGGAGTGTAAGCACATGGATTTCATTCTAATGGTCTCATATGTCCACTTCCTCATTCCAACAACAGAGCAAATCCACCCAATAACATCACATGATATTTCTCCAGCTACCTGATATTTAGGTGCATTATTCACGTGAGGGAAGTTGCCCTGACTGTCGCCATTGTGCAATAAATCATTGTCCACTAGATTCCAGCCCCAGCTCTGGTCATCCCCTCCCAATAGGGGGACATAACCGTGACACTGGACGCTGGCTTTTTTGGTGGCTATTCCGATAACCGCAACCGTCCCAAGTGGACCTTCCCACCATATTTCCCAACAATGTCTACCGTGCCTAAATCCGATTTTTCCCCGAGCACCGTCTGAGCTTTGCGCCACGGGGTTCCGATGTAGCGTAAAGCCGTTGGGTTTAATATAAACGTTTCTCGAGCAATCATTTGGGTTCCACGCGTGATAAAATGCCCTCAGTTTTGCTTTGTAAGTTGGGACGTTGCTAAGAAGGTCAGACTTTAAAGCCTCTTCCGCCAGCTTTCGAACGCAGTGTAAACGCCAAACGTCATTGTTTTCGTCGTTGAGAGTCTTGTACCAGGTCTTGCACACCAGAGAACAATTCCGTAGGTCCTCGATGTCTAAATATGAGAAGATATTTTCAAGGGCTAGGGCCGGTAATCCCGTCCAATTGGGGGCAGCCATGATGGTTTATGAGTCACGCGTAAGTCTCGCGAGACTATGAGGTCAGTGGGGTGCAGTTTCGAAACCGTATTTCCATAGAAGTAGAACATGGTTTCGTTTTGCGATTTTTTTTTTTTTTTTTTCAATTGAAAGCTGGTGATTTTCTTTTAAAATGTTAATTTATAGCAATCGTGATTATGTTTTTTATTGAATTAAAGATGTTTTGGAATATTACCTTTAAAAGTTCAAGCTAAAAGAACTTTGAAGAGTGTGAGGTAGGCTATATACAGATCAAAATTCTATGGACCATTTACTCGAGAAAACATCGAAATTTTACACTCTTAATAACAAAAATAAAAAAAGAAAAATGCAACTGTGCCATTTAATAAATTTATTTCACATCTCACATATTCTACAGATGTTTTTTCTCTGAGTAAATAAATATGTTAAATAAAATTTATATACTTTTAATTTATATGCAAATTTTATATGCAAAATTTTATACAGCTGCTCGTGACCTTGATTTTCTGCTAAGTCCAATAATCTACCAACAGCTGTGAACAAGCAGCCGTAACTAGATATTTTAACACGTTTCCGGCTGATATAATTTGTTCTATGGCAACATTACGTCAGTGTTTGCACTATCACTAGTTATAGGCACCGATATATTTGCTGAAGATTATAAGGTGCAACAAAAACATGAAGCCGCAATGATAGACTGTTCTTTCGTTTACATTCAAGTTACTACAGGCGTTTCCAATATATCTTCCTTAACATAATGGACACAGGGACAAACCAATAAAAATGCCTTCCAAAGTATGCATCAAAATTGCGCCTTTTTTAGATAAATACCTTTTATAGATCACGAAAAGCGCCACTATATAACGTCCCTGTATACACACGCAACTATCATTTCATTTTTTAATTAAAAGTACCAATTTATCAGCAATACCATTAAAACCCCCATTAACAGATTATGGCACAACATGAAAGTTAAAACTGGAAACCTCTCAGTGTCTCACTCTTAACATGGTGCACTGTCCTCTGTATATATGGCGTAATAACTGAGACACGACTCTGAATGAGCGCAAATGGAAAACGCATTAACAAACCTCAAAGTAACGTACAGTTAAATCACTCATATGCGTTTCCACTTCAAGCACTCGGATATCCATATAGGCTTAAACACACCGGTGCATGTGAATAACAATAATGTGCAATGTAAAACTTTGACAGTAAACATTACATGCAATATTATAAATAATGTTTAAACCTCGCTATGACACTCAGTGTACAGTTCACGCTCAGCGACAGTTCTCTATACTTTGAATGGAATGGTAAACTTTTCAATGTATACGTAAAAGATCGACCGGTTTCGAATCTTTTGTTACAGACAGATTGCGGGAGTTTTACGTATTTTACGTTAAATAACATTTTTTTTATTCCCGGTCTTGTAACAGCCTTGTCATATTTAATAAACATTAACTACACTTCCCTTACATTGAATAAATTGTATCTAAAATTATTCATAACCTTATTATCAAAAGACATTTAAAACTTCAACCTATCGGTTACGCTTTTCTAAAAAAATATGTTTTAATAAGAGTACTTCTGTAAACATATTCTGTAGATATCTGAATACTGTAAGACTATATATCTACTTCATAAGAATCAGAACCTATATGCGACCACGCGACTTCACCTAATAAATGAACAAAGTTTCTTTCCGTTCTTGCATGGATTGCTGAATTTTCTTCAATCTCAGCTCTCTGAGGCGATCTGTATACCAGCCTTTTAGCCTTATGTTGTAGAAAGTTTGAGATACGTATTTGTTTTATAAGAACTAATGCGCAACCGAGAGCAGTTCGCATTTTTTGTATAAATAACACACCAGAAAAAGCGTTCCTACATTACTTAAAAAAATTAATAGGTCTGAACATCACTTCAACAATATTCATGTACAAACCTATTTGATTATATAAAAGATAGGCTAAGGGCTTAAATCCCTTCTAAAACTTGCTCTTTTACAAAATTAGACCTATATCAATTAAAAAAATATACATGTTTTGATGAATATATATATAGGCCTAGGCATATACACAATATTCTAAGAAAGCATAAATAAAGAGCCTAAACAGCCCAAAACCCACTCAAACCTGTTATTAATTTTCTAAGGACCAGGGTTAAATTAGAAGTTTAACGTTCTGAAATATAAAATGCATAGATGTTCACCTCTTTATTTTTCGTGTCACCTTTGGTCGATGTTTTTATTACTGTAATTAACTAGACCTTTCAATATTCATGTTGTAACAGGAAGGTCTACATACTATTTCTCATATATAAAAATACCAACACACTGTAAGTGCGGGTTTTCGCAGAAACTATTTTTCTCTGCTTTTTTTAACAACTCGATGTTGTACTTATTATATCATCAAGCGATCGACAGGCGAGCATTGACTGCCGTTCTAAACGCCACCTTCACTCTCTCATTCTTCTCTGACACCTGCTTCTATTCCACATGTCGTCTTCGGTGCCAAGAAAATAATTTTATTTTATAGTAACTGGCACAGCTAGGGGTCAATGGCCGAAATTAAGCCACACCCAATCATCCTCCGTGCCTCACATGTACTGTTTTCATGTACACTCCCACTTTCCGTCCTCTTCCGTGCACTGAAAATATTTTGCTGTTACAGTTACTAAACATCAAGAGGTCGACGGCCCGACAGCAACAGCCGTTCTTTCCTCCATCTTTTCTTATATTGCTTTGATTCATTTGTCCATCGTTTGTCTGCTATGTAAAGATATATAGTAACTCGCTATCACAGTTCAAAAACCTCCACCTTCATTTTTTTTCTTATTCTTCAGTTACTAACACCGTACATCAAGGGGTCGACGACCCGGTAACACCTGTCGTCCTAACCTCCATCCTCACTTACTCTTTCATCGATGCCTAAACCATCTACTTTTCTTTTTGCCAGCGACGAGCAAGAATAGCGTTTGTAATAAATACGCCAGTTTAAATTTAACACTTACACTGGTATCACCTACAACTTAATTTTAGCAAAGTTTTAGCGACTTTGAATGTGTAAATAAATTTTTACGCAATGCGTCAACTGATTAAAGAAAAAAAATCAAAATGTTCATACGAAACCAAAAACCATATGTTTTAGAAAATAATGTGATCTTCTTATAAAATCATATGAAAAATTAAATTAAATGAATAAAGTTAGCATATTGTTGTTGACTGTGTAACTGATAGTATTTTATTCCTCCTCGGCCTTTCTCTTGCTGCTCTTGCCCTTCCCTTTGCCTTTCCCGCCGCTAGCCATTACCTGTTGCAGCACCAGATCTTCCATGATTAACTCTTGCAGTTTCTGCTCACTCCAGTCGTCCCAAACCTCAACGTCCCCGTAGTTAACCTCGGTGCCGCCTGTAGCCCCAAGTTCACTTCCTGACAGAGCAGCGGCGATGGCACCTTTGGAGAGCACGGACTCCGAACTTAAAGAAGGATTGAGCTCAGCGACTGGCAGCACACCTGAGGGCTCGGCGGTCTCTCTATTTGGCTCGGGGAACTTGGTGTTGATGTCCAAGATCTTAACCGGCTTCTTCTTTTTCTCTTTCTTCTCCTTCTTTGGCTTCGGGACATAGGTCTTCCCCTTTTTCTCCATCTTGGCCTTTTTCTTTTCCTCTGCCTTTCTCTCTTTCTCCTCTTTCTTCCTTTCCTTCTCCATTTCCTTTTCTTCTTTCTTTCGCTGTTTCTCCTTTTGTTTCTCTTCCTTTCTTTGGACGAGAACTCTGTCCACTAACTCTCCTCTAACTTTCCCATCCACTGGGCAGTCATCCGGAGGACAACATTTGTCGAACAGGTTTACAGGTCTTGGTTCCGGCCCCGGATTGGCTGGGGTGGGATAGACGCCAGGGTCTGGCTGAAATAGATGATTTTCATATCAATTTACTTCGAAGATATACATAAATTTTAATTGTGAATTGATGATCGTGAGTAAAAAGTAAAAATTTAATTCGAATAAAAATCAAAGAACTCACCTGCAGAAAGCAACAACAGAAAACGGCGAGGAATGCCCGCCATCTTGAGACCTCCTTGGGTATCTCTTCCACCCTTTCTTCATCTTGCTTTGTCTCATATCTTTCTTGGGCCTCTCTCAATTTCGCTTTAGTCTTCTCAAGACTTTGCTCCTCAAAAACAGTCGAATTGGCTCTTTTTGGTGAAATGAAAAAATTAATAATTATTAATTTGAATTGAAATGATCGAAAGAAAGGTACCTGAAATGTGACATAAATTTTGGATTAACAATTTTACCGAACCATGAGCATAACAGTGGCGGATCCAGGATTATTTGGGGGGGGGAGGGGTCCTCAATCCTTGGCATGCGGAGAAGGGCTCCGAAAATTTTTGTATTTTTGAGGGTGAACGGTGCCATATGGTTGTGTTTTGAACTATCATTCAGCCAGTCAAAATTCTAATTTCAAGAGAGAACCATTGGTGTGATATTTTTAAAATTTGAAGGGGGGGGGGGGTCAGGTACCCCCTGACCCCCCCATTCTCAATTCGCCACAGAGTGCAAATAAATAAATAAATTTGATAATGGGCATGCAAATGCATTGAACCCCACCCCAAACACACACATACAGTTTTTTAACCTCGTCAATAATCTGTGCAAGCAGAAGGGATAGTATGTAACCCCCCCCCCCCCCCCCCCCCCCCCCCCCCCC